GACACTTATAACTGGCGATCGACACTTATAACTGGCGATCGACACTTATAACTGGCAATCGACAATTATTACTCGCGATAGACACTTATAACTGGCGATCGACACTTATAACTGGCGATCGACACTTATAACTGGCAATCGACAATTATTACTCGCGATAGACACTTATAACTGGCGATCGACACTTATAACTGGCGATCGACACTTATAACTGGCAGCTATCACGTTTCAGGGGGGTCTTCATGGCATTTTTATGGTTTAAAACAGTTCCCCCCCGTCTTTTGTCATCAGTTCATGAAGTGTTTTGCACGCTCTATCATGGATTCTGAAGAAAATTGTGTAGAAAAGGTAAGAGTTTTAAGTATTATTGACTAAGGAATCATCTAAGAAAAACATAAAACATTTAGAAGGCCTTAGACGTTTAGCTTCTGAACGCGTGTCGCAGTGTCGTTGGTTAATTTATACGGCAGATACAGCGACAGACATAGGGTGATTTATAAGTTTTTCTATGCAGAACCGTTCTGCATTAAATTCAATACCCATCAATTGAGAAGAGTTTCAATTGATCCATTGCTGCGTTTTATAAAATAAACTGTTATTATTTTCAATCACGATGGATTCATGTAGCTGTCTGAAATGTAGTAGCTTTGATCGAATTGTTTGCATGCAATTGTGTTCGAGCAGCGACCCCAATTTTTATTTCTTGCTCTTCAGACCCACTGCAACATAATCTTTAATATGAGAAATGCCTTTTAGTAAATATAGTTATTATCGGGTAGAAAATGGCAAACTATAATCAACGAAACGGGATTAGCTCCAGATAGACACATTATAGACACAGGAGTCACTGTTGCCACGGTGTAAACATCGACAATTTAATGTTATTATTAGATACAGTTGATACGTTGATAATATTATGGAAATTGCAGTCATATAACTGGAAAATTATTGTAATTGTGAATAACAGCAAGTAGGAATCACAAATCCTCAGTGTTTCTATGAAATGCTGCACTTTTAGGATTTTCTTTGTTACATTATGAATTTGGAGCAGGAGAGGTTTATCATCAGCCGCCCTACCCCAGTCAACCCCCCCCCCCCCCCCCCAACCACACGCCTCAAAAACACCCACACACCCAATATAGGGTCATGGTTTATAGAAGGGTTGTAGTTTTTTCTGGGATAGGGTAGTCTTTTGTCTAGGATAGGGTATAGTCTCATTGTCTGGGTTAGGGTAGTAGTTTTGTCTGGGATAGGGTAGTAGTTTTGTCTGGGTTAGGGTAGTCTTTTTGTCTGGGTTAGGGTAGTAGTTTTGTCTGGGATAGGGTAGTTTTTTGTCTGGATTAGGGTAGTCTTTTTGTCTGGGATAGGGTAGTCTTTTGTCTAGGATAGGGTATAGTCTCATTGTCTGGGTTAGGGTAGTAGTTTTGTCTGGGATAGGGTAGTAGTTTTGTCTGGGTTAGGGTAGTCTTTTTGTCTGGGTTAGGGTAGTAGTTTTGTCTGGGATAGGGTAGTTTTTTGTCTGGATTAGGGTAGTCTTTTTGTCTGGGATAGGGTAGTCTTTTGTCTAGGATAGGGTATAGTCTCATTGTCTGGGTTAGGGTAGTAGTTTTGTCTGGGATAGGGTAGT